ATATATAAAATTGTGTACAACTGATGCACTAATAATGATAATAATAATAATAATAATAATAATAACAATAATAATAATAATAATACCAGGAAAGTTTTCTTGGGAACACCAACAAGATACGGCATAGGTGCCATTAACATATCAATAAGATCAGCTGGCAAGACAGGTATGAATAAATTTTGCCAATACATTGGATAAAGCAATGTTGCGGCAGCGAATATACACGATGACAGTTGGCTTAATTTACGACCCGTAAAAATAATTCGTCGCTCTTTCAAAAGACTAAAATTGCAATTTATTTACGGTATGATGTTACACAACTAATCACCAACTCACCTCGCGTACAAACTAATCATTTGCTTTTCTGGAATCGCGTTGTAAAATTCTAGCATATATTTATCCTCTCGCAGCGTTGGCAAACGACTGCAATCTGGTACTGTGAGTTCGAGTTTCTGAAAAGAAAAATTCGATGAGAGCAGAAATGATTTATTCATTTATCACTCTATCTCTTTAAATCAGTTATGAGTGATGAGTAATTCTAAACTCATACACAAAATTCAAGCTTCGGATCCTTTTACTTCTCATTCCTTTATTAAAACAATCATTTTTATATGATTGGTATTGCTGTCGTTACAAGATAATCAAAATTCATAATATTCGCGAATAACGAAATTACTTAGATGATTAGAACAAATAATAATAACGATAAGATGAGTAGATAAGCCGAATCATAGCCTGAACCAGGCTCGGTAGAGTGAATGACATCGGTATACCACTCGGTTTTGAGCAAAACTTCACTCCGTGGACGGAAATCGAATCCGCGAAAAATAATGAATAATAATAAGACAATAAAGAAAATAATAATACAACAATACTAAAAATAACTTACGTTCTGACCGAGAGTAGATTCAATCCGAAGCTGTCCACCAGGCCTAGGTATCGGAGTATGATATGCACAAGTTAAGATCGATTCCAAATCACTTGTCTAAATGATTCTAACAACTAGATAAATACTCTTCAGATAATGACATGACGATTCAAATCGCATAAACAAATAATGCAACTCACATCTTTTGTGTTCATAACTGTCGTAATGTGATTCAGTATCGTATAAAATGTACTTGCCCATGGAAGACCACTAAAAAGGAACTTTTGAGAACGCATCCCGAAATGATGATGATATTTTACATTGAACTGCACTACCACATACCTTATTCTATGGTTAGGTTGGGCTTCGAACACCAACGAGGCTTCCGGGTTCCCAATCCTACCCCTACACTCACTGATTTCGCTCGTGACTCAGCTCTACCATACTCTAACGATTCTCTTCTATTTATTTGAATCATCATTAATGATAAATTCTGCCACTGATAAATTCAATAACTGCTTTTTCTTACTATCACTATGAATATCGTATGACAGGACATGTTAATAACGATTACAAAAGTATCAATGAAAATGAAAGTTATTTTATGAATGCTGATAAATTTAGATTCACCTGAGTATACACAAGCAAGTGTTATTGCGTGGAGTATGACGGCAAAATGCGTATGTGTATTGTGATTTCTGATCGGTCAATACAAATGAGAAAAGTTGAACAGCCTCAACATCGTCGCTTTAATGAATAGAATATTATATTCTTAATTACATTTCTGTGATGGAATGAATCATTCACTGAATAATGCTTTTACACACGTCTCTTCCTTATTGATAGATTTAGCATGTGCGTTCCTAAATTTTCATGGGATGGATCTGTTCGAAGAAAGGAAGCCAGTCAGAAAAGGTGAATTACTTATCGGAATAATAACGCCGATAAATCATTACAAATTTGAACGGATTAAACAAATGAATAAGCTGACTAACTCGTCAAGACCGCATGGGAATGAGAACTGCGTGACGGATTTGAGGGTTTGTTCATCATTAAAATCGTCTGGATATTTTTGTAATATTATCGCACAAACACTTTTACTACCTTTACCACTCTCCATACCGGCACCTACTTCACAGAATACATCAAACAATGTTGCCACATCGTTCCTTCAAATAAATCAATAATCGCTATTGTTATAATAAATAAATAAAACTAAACAAATAAATAACTATTATATATAAGCGAAAAATAGTAACAAGAAAATACAACTAACCGATTTCTAGATCCCATTATACGAATTTTGAATCATATAATGATAAGTTGGGCTTTCATTAAAGTAATGCCTTGTGATAAATAACTTGCTTAAAACTGGATATAATTTATAAAAGCAATTAAAAATGTTAGCCGTCAAATTCAGCACCCAAGTCCTGTAAAATCAACGTAAAGACGAAATAATCTAGACACGTGATCATATTTACCTAATATTCACATCGAACATTTTTCGTTTCAAACAGAGGATACAGAACAAATGGTGCTAGAATGATTTCCGATGAGATGTAACATAGAGCTGATAGATCATGCTGAAACAGGACTAAGCTTCAGTTTGACTGTGAGTAAAATCCAAAGTGTAGTTAACGTATCCTATGGTACTGATCACAAACCTTCAGCTAAAGCTAATCCCTGCTTTCGGCTGAAATCAACGCGTGGGTTACTGAAGTTCACCACAGATTTACACTGAAGCACGACTGAGGCTCATCGACAATTCACGCTAGCATAACCCACTTTCATGAATATGGTACCAGTGCCTAACGTCAAGTTTCCTACGCTAAACTGTCTGCACAGGTGGAAAATACCAACACTCGCTGTTCACGACATACCGAATATACTGAATCATTTGGCCGCTTTGAAAGTTAGGCAGTGATCCAAAAATAGGACACATGATAATAAATAACATAGTGCGTCGAGACCACGCAAAAATCACCCGTCTGTAATTTGACCTCGTCAGCTCGTGTCAGGCTCAGGCTGAAGCCCATGCTAAAGCTTAGGGTGACATACAGGTTGAATTTGGACCAATCATAGTTTTCACAGTTTGTCGTTGCCCTCATTTTAACTCTTTCGAGAGGATGTTTCCACCATTAAACCTTACCGCTCCATATAAACTGTAAAGTATCAATGAGCACTCTGCTCCGCCGTTTCGAATAACCAAATACACAACCTATAAGAAGTATTCGGTTGCAAATTAACCCCTCTTTAAGCTAAATGTAAGCCTGGACCTCAGCATAGCCCGACAGTAGGTCTAAATGAATCAGCGTATGAGATTACACTGCTTCACGATGACTCCCAGCATGTAGCAGAATCTAACCGCAAGACTGAATCTTGTAAATTTGTGCTTTTCAACCACATCATCTGAGAACCGACTACTTGGCAGGATGCCAGCATTAACAAAATTTAATAAATTTCAATTTCAGTTCATATAAGGTGAATTAGACCGAAGTTTGGATAGCAAAATGGAGAAAAACTGGGATTCGAAGTGAAGCTGGAAATGGAAGTTAGGATGAAGTGAATTTCTACGTACTGAAGAAGTTCAATACGAAATTCACAAATGCCAACCACACAAAGATGCATTTACGAAAAAAACCGCGTGTGTTTTAACCATTATGGAGGCCACTTATAGACCTTTCAAATGTCTTTCCCTCGTAAATTCCACTGTATTTGTTTTCTGTTTAATGTTTTCTAAAAATTGTTTTCCAGTCAGTTTTTTGTGCTCTCGAAATTAGAACAAAAAGCGTGATTTTCTTGTTTGAAATGAATGAAAAATTTTTGATATATTCTTAACTCTGAATTGATTGATATTCTTCTATACTCGTCAAAATTGATATTCTTAACTCTGAATGACAAACGATACTTTCATTTACAAATGAAACCCAAAATATCAAATTAAGCAAACCGATGTACCAACGGCAAAAACACCTGTAGGAATGGTTTGAATTCCGGAGGAGCACAAAAGAATGAAGAACTTGCTGACGAATTGCAAATGCAGATTGTCTTAATGTGTAAATTAGATTAATTTAATTGAAGAAAGCCGAAGAAGGTTCACAAAAGAGCTTTCATTTCTCTTACTTATCCCAAAAGATCCATCAGAAGGAATCTCGAAATTGAATGACATTGCTCATCTCTATTGACAAACTTTTAAATCAAATATAAACATATTTACATAAATTATATTATACTACGTTTTTTCCTTCTCCGCTTTTTCTGTGACCCGTAAAGAATCGGTCTACTCACAGCTGCTGTATTAATATGTAGTTTTCTAAAAACTTCAACGTCTTCCCCACACAGTCAACTGTCTTCATCTGTAAAAATTGTTTTCCAATCAATTTTCTGTGCTCTCGAAATTAGAACAAAAAGCATGATTTTCTTGTTTCATATGCTACTAATATGACTGAAAATATGAGTACGAATTCCAATTCAAAAATCATTTGTACTTTTCAATTTTTGATCCTTGGATCACTCACAAAAGAATATGACGTCGTTATCTATCAATCATCCCGTTCTGTCTCCATCGGCAATAATATTTTCATCATCACCTATCAGACAGATGATGTTAACGTCATCATGCCTGCCACATTGCTCGTGAACATGCAAGCTTGCTTCTTACTCACTCTATAAAGGTTCACTCTCTAATTCCACTCGAATCGTTTCAACTCTTCAATTAATTCCTTTCCAGGTCTCCTTTGATCAGTTATTTAGTGATCATTCATCAGTGCAATCTTCCTCACTTAGCCTCAGTTTCATTAAACCATTTCAACGTATTATTCTAATGAATGCTTACTGATTTTTCCGTATTATCTACACATGAGTTGATTTATTTTTTTCAACTTCACTTTTTCATCGTGTTTTTACATATTATATTTTAACATGGTGGTCTTCAAGTAACCTCATCCAAGCGTCATTGAATAAATTAAAGTAAAGTATTGTTGAAGTATTTGTCAATAATCAGATCAGCAAAAAGTTATAGGAAACACCAAAAAATTCTTATTCCTGATTTGAATGGAAGGTGTTGTGTTCAAAATACCTGATTCAATAAAATACGATGTGTCATCTCTTTGTTTGTAATAAAAGTGAAGCGTTTCGATGTGACCACTTCAAGGCCGTTCTATACGTTAGAACGCTATTGTAACAAATAAATGTTATGCTATGCAGTAAACAGTAAAAAATACTCTGTGTAGTTTAACCTCATTCGCGTCCATCATATGCATGCTTTTAAGCTAACGCTTAGACTAGGCGAACTTGTGCGTTCTATGCTGTGCGCCCTACGTCATCCATTAACAATGTGTTTTATGCCACACACATTGTGTACGAATCGGAAATGAAATCACGCGTTTTGTATTTGAGGGCCAAACCTAAAACTAAGTCTGAGCTCAAGCGTAAACGAAGTTCTCAGCCCATCTTGCGGTATCCGGATTGAAGAGGTGATAGTTCAAGGAATGTGACTAGCCACAGTCGGCAATATTGTATTATTGTTTATTCATCAGTATAGAAGAATATGTTAAGAATTATATCACATAAAATGAATATATCGATTCGCGTTAATTGATGCAGTATTGATTGATAGGAACTTCATGAAATAGCAACCATCTTCAGGAAGTAAAACACGTCATGAGTAGGTATCAAAACGACTTGAAGGCTGCTGATGAGCTTAATACAACCACTACCAATAATAACACAGATACGATGTGGTCAAGAGCTTGTTTTTTAACGCGTTTGGTTGCTTGTTCTGTACGCGTTTCTGAAACTGCCGGTCGAGTCATAAAGGTATTTGTTCATTCATATCTTTGAAAATATGTAAAAACTCCTTTTTCATCATCACATTGTTACTTGTTATTGGTGCATTGTTTATTATTGTTATTATTAGTGAAAACGAAATCTTTAAAGGATATAATGCGAAATGGTGATCTGAAAATAGTTGATAAAGGCCACGGTGGTAAGGAGGATTTTCAGACTGAGGCTGATCGATCGGCACAATATTGTATCATTAAATCATTGCAAAACAAATTCGGATCTCAACTTACTGTTATTGGAGAAGAGGTGTTTTTTCATTCTTATTTTATGCGATAGTTGTTCATTAACCATTATATTTCATTATCTGCTTTACTGTTGTTATTACTACCAGTAGTGTTTGCAGGAAGTTGTATCTGCTGTACCTTACATTGATGCGAGCTACTCGAAAGAGGTGCTTAAATTCGATGAAAAGTGTTCGAAGGAGTTGCGAGAAATTGATGTTAATGATGTCAGTTTTTGTTCATTCATGTCTGATTACTGTTAATATTATTATTGTTATTATTATTATTAATGCTATTGTTATTATTACATAATTTGTTTAGGTGGTTGTATGGGTTGATCCTTTGGATGGTACTTGTGAGTTTGCTCAAGCAAATAAGAATGGATCGCGTATGTTTATTAATTTATTTGATCGAATACAATAAGAGAGTAATAATGATTTATTTCAGCGCTTCTACAGCAAGTAACAGTTTTAATAGGAATCAGTTACAAAGGACGTTCAGTGGCAGGCGTAATACACCAACCTTATTGGGGTGAGAAACAGGGTGGACGAACAATCTGGGGTATTGTTGGTGTTGGCACGCATGGAATTGATATTGTTAGAGGTGATTTTTTGATTGCTGATTCATTTGGATTGTTTGAATGTTTCATTGATTCAGATCGAACCGAACGTGTCGTTGTAACAACACGAAGTCATTCGACAACAACAGTTGCTGATGCGTTAGAAGCATTAAAAAGAAATGGACTTGCTGATGAAGTGCAGCCGGTTGGTGGTGCCGGATACAAGGTGGCTTGTCTTTATTTTTGTATTGGTTATTAATTGCTTATTACTTATTTAGGTTATCAGATGTCTCGAGGGTGCAGCAGCTTATGTGTTCGCAAGCGCAGGTTGCAAAAAATGGGATACAGCCGCTCCTGAAGCAGTCATTATTGCAGCAGGTTGAGATTTGATAGTATCTGTAATATTGTAACAATAGTAATGCATTCCTTTAGGAGGTAAACTAACAGATGTAACGGGTCGACAATTATATTATGGCGCAGATGCACAGATCAATAATACCGGAGGAGTTTTAGCAACTTCAAGCTGGGTTAATCATCAGGTTGATCAGTTTTTAAATCACAGTCTTTTGTCTTTTGAAAATGTAGTTTTCAGTGAGAAATGTATCATTCTAAGTTTCACTGTATTATTTTAGCGATTTAGTTCCATTTTAATAAGAATGTCATTAGCCGTTCATTGCAATTTCAGGATTATGTGAACAGCATACCGAAATTTGTGAAGGATGCTCTGCCAGAGTTTTCTAAAAACCGTTAGGAATGCACTGATGGTTCAATATGAGCAACGAATAGAAGATTACTGAACAGTTCAATTGTAATTACCATCTCATTAATGAAATTTAATTGCAATTGTGTTGCATAATATCATCAGATTGAGTTCGTTCGATCATAATGTCCTCATCACTTCAAACTGCTCTATTCGGAAATCTTTCAATGCAAATGTCTATCATTGATTATATTTTCAGTTATTATTCAATCAATATTGTATCAACATTTTCTGTGCGAATATTATGTAAAATTACTGTTATTCGGGTTTTCAGTCCGTGATTGTAATAATCTCAATGAATTATTACAAACTTTCATCGTTTCATATTCGAATTGTAATCGAGCAATTACGATGATTTTCACTGTGGTCACTGATTGCTATTATTTCTTAAACTGTCAATTCCTATAAACTCTTGATCATCTCAATATGCGCAGTTGACGTCTTTCACCGTGTGATGTTATTCATTGTAGTAATAATTATGATTGTTTATTGGTATTATATACTATCATTTATTATTATTGTATGAGTAAACTAAATTCATTTCACATTTAACTACTGACAAATCGCTACGGGATCACTTGGGCCGTATATTTCAGCTCCAAAAAAAGCAAAGTTTGAGAATTTCTATCGAAAAGAAACCAGCTTCAGCTTTCAGAAGTGAACTCTGTGTCAAAACGACAAATTCCTTTACTCCTCACCGGAATAAGAGAACAACGCAAGAAGGAATTGTATTCATGGCTCAGTCACAAACTGGAGCAGAACTTTCCAAACGAAGTGGCTGTGCCTCACTTTCCATCCCCATTTGCACGACGAAACTCTCTCTTTGGTGAGCAAGTACATCATTTGTACAGCTCACGAGCACAAATGCATTCAAAATCAGTAAGTACATCACTGTAGAAAAGAGTTAATCTAACACTAAAGAAAAGCACGATTGCGTTACTTCTATGTGCAAATATGGCGACTTGTTAAAAAATGAAAACATCGTATAGACATACATCGTTTTTGAATATTAACTGAGTGATCTGAAAAGAGCAAAAATAGGATGAGCACTACAATCAGTTCATAACGCACGCCACATTCTGATAGAGCACAAACTCACCACCTTTCAGAAAAATATCAACGGGACATTTCTATTGAGGACTGATTACCTGCAAGTCTTACACTGCCACCTTCTTGTGGATTCACAAACCATTGGTTCACCCGTATTTGCATTTCACAGTTGTGAATATCTGGGATTGTAATGAAATTGGAGTAATGATCAGCAACATGATAACGTAACTGTACGTTTTGTAGTGTTTGGGTGCAGTTTGTGTGAGGAAGAATAATGAAGATGGAACGTACAAATGTGTTAAATAAAGCACTGAGGTATACGTTTTTACAAATATCTAGCGTGAGCATCGAATGCGTAGTGGTGTTGCAAACTGCTGTTTTCATTGAGCAACAGTTTTTGCTTTCTAGCTGATGTGCTGTCCGAATGAGCCAGTAGTGGTGCTAAAGCTGAACTGCATCCAGCACCAATCAGAACTACAGCCTTGTGAATGTATAGCCACTTCTCGCATTCATAACCAACTGTTTATGTGATTCTTACAATTCATTCAGTTCACTTTGATTTCATTTCCACCAAGAAGACCATTTATGAATATGTGTATTCTTGTTCGATTATTCATTTGAAATTAACTCATATTGTGGACAAAAACGTTTTATAGCTAAAAGAATATTTGTACAAAGCAGATGTTAATTGCTATTCATGAATCATTCACTTTTTCAAAACAACCCATTTGCTATTTACGAGAAATTTTTTTATTCCATATTTTTTCTATTCCATTTTTTCGCTTTTCAAGTCATTTATTGTTCGTTTTGGTTTTTCGTTTAAAAAATTATAGTATTTTACGAACATCTGTTCCAAATAAGTCTTTTATTGACCATTTTTCGTCTATATAAACACGTATCAATGATCGGTGTATTACAGAAATAATTGCAATTGAAAAGCACCACTCTGAATGCGATTATTGAACGGTAATCCCACGACTTTGTTCATTCTACTTGATCTGTTGGGTGCTTTCGTGAACGGTCACATCTTTGCACTGGCAACGAACAGTCGGAGTAAGAAACTGAAATCGCTGACTGTTCAACCGAAACAATTCGCTGTTGACGAAATAGATACAGTTTGTTGCATTTTTATCCTTACTTACTTATAATAACTCATTAAAAGTTTATGCTTCTATCTTATCGAAGATATCACTAAGCAATTGCAATTGGCCACTTTTTCCTTTGTTCACATCCCATTTTTGACGAAACCAACGACAACGGTTGTCTCGTGAATTATTCCTCTTCATGAAATTCCAATGTCGTTTATTGATGCTTAATGTTCGTCGGTGAGCAGGTTTTTGCACGGGGGTCCCCGCGGGAGTAAATTGGACGGTGGATCCCCGCAAAAAAGCCGGGGAGCAAATTGCGCGGAGTAGCACTCGCCGCGTTCTTCGTCGAGGTCCCCGACGGGGACCCCGCTCTCCGACGAACACTATTGAAGTGTACTGCTACTCTACCGTATTGCCCAATGTTTCTATGTAGTAATAACATGTGTTTGCTCTATATTTTTCTTTCATTTATAGCCATGCTATATATGTGCAGCTGCATGGAAGTTTCGTCAGCACAATAATGTTATAAATCGAGAAGAGGAGGCGAAATTATCCGAGGATGATGAGAAGGTTATTCATGATTGAATAATAATTCCTTTATCGGTTCCATTCTATTGAGAAAAGAGATAATCGAAATGAAATTACAGTGTTGTATTTCATCGGTGATTCATGATATTGAAGAAACGCTCAAAAAAATGAATCCAGACGAATGGACAAATAAAGCGATTAATATTGATCAACTGCAGCTTGATACCCAACAAGTACAGACATTCTTTTCATTTTGTACGATGACACTGACGCTGATGTAATAGTCGGAAATTGGTTTTGTGATTATTATTATTCAATTGATTTTTTCAATTTCAGTTCGTTAATCGTACTTCATCAAGTCGAACAAGCGTTAATCAATTGAAGAAACAACTGGATGTACTCAACGAGAAATGGTCAAAGTATGCACTGCAAAGAGATTTTAATAAGTGGGCAGCGTTGAGGCATTGGCTACATATACCGGGTTTAATGCGACGTATAAAGATGATTCAAAAAGATTTACGCAATGGACGGCAAACGTCCCGCAATAAACGTCTTAAAGAACGAATAGATAACGCTGAAAATACTCTTTATGGAATCAAGAGTCGAATTCGTCATTTGTATGCAATCTATCATCGTGAATCTAAATCGAAATCACCAGTTGCCCATTTCAAGAAGCAGTTGCAACTGGCCGTTCAGAGACGACGTCAGACACCGACGTTGTCTCACCGATACCGATTAACACCTTCACCAAACAGTATTAGCAGCAGCACATATCAACACATTCCACGTTCATCCTCTACTTATTCCTCTCGCAACAGTTTTATGAATGCTCGCTACTAATGCAGGCGGCCATCTTCGCTTCATAATACCAGTCATTCTATTATCACTCCATCATTTCATATTTTAATTCACATTTTGTTATAATCACGAA